ACCATTTATTTGAATACCTAGTCAAAGAAAGATTTGACTCTATTATTATTGGTCTGCGAAAATAAAGTCCGGGTAAGGAATTCTGTTGACCGGGGAGAAGGTGTAATGCATTCCCCGAGTCCCGTGGTTCTAGCATGGTCACTTTATTGACTACATTTGGCTTATATTATTTTTGGATAACCTGTGTTTTATTAGTTCTCATGTTTTACCTATGTCCACTTTTATTGCTTGATTAGATTTATGAAAATTATCTTGAAATAAGTCACGCGTACGTGTACACAATCAATAATATATTTATTATTATTCGAAGTTGATTGGTCAAGTCATGTGAACGCGCACTTGTATTATTTTCCTAAACTAATTTGAAATTATTGTAAGACCAAGAGTTTATGGATAGGAAATTATTTGGAAGTCGGGAAATATATTAGTTATTTAAACTATTGAAAAGTCATCCACACTTAGAAATATTTACAACTTATTACTCTATCTTTGAAATTAGGAGACATTTATCCATTATGAAAGAATGAACTAATTATTAGTCTAGTGACAAAATTATTGGGCCTGACAGATTTATACTCAATCCAACCCATGTTTAATTCTTTCTTTCCTATTAAATGTGGTAACTCATTTCTACTTCATTTACTTGAACTCCAACGCATGACCCATTAATATGGCAAGATCTTCATTCTTAATTCTAAATAGCAAATCTTATTAAGATGAAATCTTATTCAAATAATCTGCTGACAAATCTCTTGAAACATGTAAAAATAAACTACAACATGATAATGTGTATAAATAAAACAACACAAAAAATTATTACATGAACCTCTATAAGAACATCACACAAAACAATGAAATAATTAACAAAAGGAGGATAAGCAATGAACCTTTAAGCAAAACTTTCCTTTAGAACTTGATTAATGCAAAAACAATTCTGAGCCGAACAAATACACCAAACCAAGGGCAAATCGGCAGATGAGCAGAAAATCTAGCGACGAACCTTCTAAAATTCGAGCCCGGACCGAAACTCGACTGTACCTCATGAGGCTGCTGGTTTTTGGGGTGAGAGAGGTGACTATCAATAAAGCTTCACAAGGTATTTTTAGGCTTGAATTTGAGGGATTTTTGGGTCTTAAACAGGGTGATGAATTGCTTGAATTTTCGAAAGAAATAATGAAACGAGTAGAAATTCACTTAGCGGATAAGAAGAATTTTTTTTTCTCTCAATTCTCTCCTCTATTTTTTCCTTCCTTCTCCCCTTTTCTCCTCACATTTCTCTTCTATTTATAGGAAAAACATTCGGAATTTTTTCAGATTTATTTTTTTATTATTTTAATTTATAATTTTTTTATTATTTTTTAATTAAAAAGAATTTTCACTTCCCATTTTTCTTCTTTTTTAAAAAAAAAAAAATTCTCCACTTTACTTTACTTTTATTTTTTAATTTTTCACTTTTTTTACTTTACTTTTATTAATTTTTCACCTTTTTTTTTTTTTTAATTTTCACTTATTTTACTTTTTTTTTTTAAATTTTCACTTTCTTTTACTTTTTTTAAAACAAATTCAGCTACCTTTACTTTTATTTTTTAATTTCATCTTTCTTTTACTTTTCATTTTTTTAAATTTTCGCATTCTTTTACTTTTGTTTTTTTTAATTCATACTTCTAATTTTCAATTATTTTATTCCCATCCGAAAATTTACAAAAAAAATTATTTTTTTCGGTTTTATTTTTATTTATTTTATTTTAAAATAAAGATAAAAAATAAAAATAATACTAAAAATAATAATTTGACCTTTTAAATTATTTTTAATTCTTACCCTATATTAAAATAAATGTAACAAAGCTAAAAACAAATATATATTAAATTTTTAAAAATATTTACATAGTAGAAGGTGGTAAAAATTCAAATATAGTCAAAAATTAGGTGCTCACAGAAGCGACCTGGCACCTGCGGCCAAAATTGCGTAGGTGCGACACACCACAACCAGACTTGCAATTTTTACAAAAATGGTCTGAAACTCGTCCGAAACTCACCCGAGCCCCTCGGGACCTCGTCCAATTATACCAACCAGTCCCGTAACATAAAACGGACTTACTCGGGGTCTCAAATCACATCAAATAATATCGAAATTACAATTCACACCTCGATTCGAACTTTTGAGTTTCAAACTTTTCAATTTACAAAACTTGTGCCGAAACATATTAAATGAACCCGGAATGACTTCAAATTTGGCACACAAGTCATAAATGACATAACGGAGCTATTCAAAGTTTTGAAATCGAATTTCGACCCCGATATCAAAAGGTCAAATCCGTGGTCAAACTTTTAGAAATGTTTGGCCTTTAAATTACTAGTTTCCGTTAAATGGTCATAACTTGAGCTAGGGACCTCCAAATTAAATTTCGGACATACGCCCAAATCCCAAATCATGATACGGACCTAACGGAACTGTCAAAATACTGATCTGGGTCTGTTTGCTAAAAATATTTATCAAAGTCAACTCAGTTAAGTTTTAAGGCTCTATTTCCCATTTTAATATATTTTTCACATAAAAACTTTCCGAAAAATTATACGGACTGTGCACACAAGTCGAAGAATGATGAATAGTCCTTTCGAGGTCTTAGAACATAGAAATAATTATTAAATTTAAAGATGACCTTTTGGGTCATCACAGTACTGTATACGTAACATATTACCAAGCAAGCGATGATAAAGTTATTAAAATATAACCAAAAGGCTCAAATTAATTTACGCAAATTTGGCCACTCTATATGTAAGTGATATCTATATCACTACTGCCAAGAAGAAAAACTCACCACCTCAAGTATATAATCTGTCTTATGATGCTCGGATTGAACAAGATCTAACCACGGACATAAGAGCGTTTCCTTACATCGGAGATGAACACTGAAATAGAAATTAAATTTGAAGTAAGTGCTCAAAATGGCAGAGTCTTGTGCTGATAATGTGTTATATAATAAAGATTGTAAAGTAAATAAATCGAAGACAAGTATAGATGAAGATTGATATTTTTATTCAACTTCAAATTGATGTACATAATGAACTGAAATCTCCTCTATTTATAGAAGAAAGGAAGTTACTGTGTAAGCTGCTACTGCAAGTTGGTATGTAAGTTGCTTGTAAGCTACTACTGCAAGTTGGTGTGTAAGTTGCTTGTAAATTACTACTGCAAGTTGCTATGTAATCTGCTTGTAAGCTATTATTGTATCAGATATAGATAATCTTCTATCGGGGGTAATATTTATCCATAACGGAGTACCAAAAGGACAAGCTTCTTCAGGAAGCTTATTTTCAATAGAGTACTAAATAGATAAACATATTTACGGCGGAGTCCCATATGGATAAGCTTCTTCAGGAAGCTTATTTTCAATAGAGTACTAAATAGATAAACATATTTACGGCGGAGTCCCATATGGATAAGCTTCTTCAGGAAGCTTATTTATAATGGATTACTAAATGAACATCCATAATATAATATATTCAAGTTAACTAGTTAAGTTAAATAGAAGTAACGCTACTTCCTCAGCTCTAAGTCTCTCTTTCACTCTCGTATTTTTTCTTTTATTTTTCTCTCTTAATTTTGTTATTCTATTCTTAATTTTATTGTTTTGTTCTTATTCGGATAGCAATAATATGGATGATCTGATTTACTAGTATTTTTCATTGAGTATCAAACTAGGATTTAAGAACTTCTAAATGCTATCTCCATTCTCCGTAACTAAAATAGGAATATTATTTTCTTCAGCCACTTCCCAATAGTAATACTGTCTAAATTAGTAATATAAGTGTTACATAAATATACATGTATTTGTATTATTATTATTATTATTATTGTTGTTGTTGTCGTTGTCGTCGTCATATTTTTAATTTCATAGAATTTAAAGTATTCCAGGATGAAACTTCATCTAAGGCTGAATCAAAACTTGATCTTGAGAAGTTTTAAGAGATTGATATTGTTATGTATTGGAAGAATCATTCTAAAAAATATCTCGATCTTTCAGTGATAGAGCGTGATTTACTTAGTATTCCTATTACTACTGTAGCATTGCAATTAACATTCAATTTGTGAGCATGTTCTCACAAAGTATAGAAGTTGCACCCATCATGAAATTGTCCAAACACTTGTTACTATTCGAATTGGTTGCACGGCTTTTTCCAAACTCAAATTGGTATTATTTTTATGTGAATTTGAATATTATTAGTTTTTGAAATTTAGTTTTGTTTAATATTTAACTAATTGAAATTATGAATTATAGATATAGATGACAAATAAAGATGTTAAGACAACCCTGTCACAAGCAAATTTAAATTTATTTGAAGAAGGGGATGTGTTGGTATTGGATATGCCATGATCGTCATATATATTTTCTTCAATAGTTTATTTTGAGTTTTTACTTTTAATGAATGAAATATTAGCATTTCTTTTCTAGTGTTTATTATGATATATTGGAACAATATCAAAAGTTATTAAGTTTGTATGATCTTTTTGTCTAATAAGATATTTTTTGACTCGTAAATATTTTTGTTTTTATTTTTTAGGTTAGAAATTCAATTTAAAAAATATATTTTTATATTTTAAAAAATAATTGACCAGCCCATGAGGCCCACGATCATTGTAGGACTGGGCTAAGCTGATCATTTTGATAAGGGATCTTTACACAAATAACTTGTCATTGTTTACTTTTTCTAACGGGTATACATAAATTATACATATATTATATATGGATTATACATATTTTATACATATATTTAATTTAAGCAATTGGGTGGGCGACTACTAAATAATTCTTCTTTTAATTTAATAATGAGTCAGTCCCGTCCGACCAGTCAAATGCCAAAGCCCACGTCAGTTGGGCCTGCGCCGAGTCAGCCTATAATTTTGTTTACTTGCAAAATCTCCCACTTGTCAAGTATTTAAAAAGCCTCACACAGGTAGTATTTGTTGTGTTAATCACAATATAAAATTCTCATTTCTCTTAAATTTTACTTTGAGATGCTGGAAAATTTCGTCTGTTTTGCACAGTCCACTGAAAAGCTGTAATTCCATTTAATCTATAATTCCTTTCAAGTTTCACTTACCAAATAATTGCACCCCCTGAACTGAATTGAAGCTTCAATCTTTCAATTCTATCAATCACAAAGTAGAAACAAAGATACTTCATCTCTAGACTATAGTAACTACAGTTTTTGACTGCTGGCTATGAAAATCCCTCCGGTGAAACCTCACTTTTTCAAGCCAATTCAGCCAGGTTTCAAGCAGGGACTGGTGAGTAAAATTAACCCTTTTAGTTATTTTCATTTGTCTACTATGTATGCATAAATGTATGATATGGTATGGAGGTGAAGAATTTATCCCAGAAAAAAGCACACTATTATTCTGAAATTAACCATTTGGGCTAGCTGATTGTAAGTGCCCATTTGGGCTAGCTGATTGTAAAGAGCCAAAGGCGGAGCTAAGATTTTGAGTTTACGGGATTCTGGATTCGAAAAGTGTGACTTAAGGGTGAGTAAATTATTTATACAATATTAAGTGAAATTTTTAATACAAATAAAGAGTCTGAGCCAAAGCTATTGGGTTCTGACGAGGCTCAGCCCCTATAAATAGCTGTTGAGCATAAAGTTGAAATAGAATTGTTGAAACTGATATGTTTGGTAAGCAGTTCTTTTCGTAAAATGATCAAAATATCCTTAAAATTTTGTAAAACATTTATAAAAATAAAAGTATCTTTGTAAGGAAAAGGAGGAACGACTAATATGGAACAGAGAGGAAGTTAAAGTTTTATTTTGGGAAATTTGAGAATTAGAATGTAAAAATCTCGATCAAACTAAGAGGGTGTTTGGCTTAGCTTATAAGTTGGTCAAACTGGCTTATAAGCACGCTTTGACTTATTTACGCGTTTGTTAAACACCCAAAGTGCTTATAAGTCAAATGCTTATAAGCTAAAATCAGTCATAAGTTGGTCACCCCCAACTTATGGCTTTTCAGCCTGTAAGCACTTTTAGTTTGACCAAGATTTTTACTAGTTTATCCTTAATAATATTTTTTAATTTACAAAATATTTTTCTCAAAATAAATTTTCTGACTTTCTCTTTGTTCCATATTCGTTGTTCATCCTTTTCTTTACAAAGAGACTTTTTAGTTTATAATCTTTTATAAAAAAAAAATTAAGAGTATTTTAGTCATTTTAATAAAAGGACAACTTATCAGTACTTTTCTGCCAAACACATCAGTTGCTTATTATCAGTTTCAGCGCGTCTATCCAAACATGTAAATGCTTAATTAAAAAATCAGTTTCAGCACTTAAAACTGCTTTTCAGCACTTCAAGCTTATGAACAATTTACAATCAGCTAATCCAAAAGGGTTCTAAAAGTGTTTATAAGTTGAAAAGTTATCAGTTGAGGTCAACCAACTTATGACTTTTGGCTGATTTTTGGCTTATAAGCACTTTGGATATTTACTAACCACATAGGTAAACCAAAAGGTAGCTTATAAGCTAGATTGAACAGCTTATAAGCTTACCCAAACACCGTCTTAGTGCCATTTCATGTCGCAAACAAAACAGCATAGTGATTGGAAATGGGGCTACCCTAAGTTTATGTTGTACTGCAGAAAATACCTAAAGGTTTCTTGAAGTATCTAAAGGACCATGACCATAATGAACATGCAACATTGAGAAGGGATGGTAAGAAGTGGCTGGTGAAGCTGAACGGCCGACGACTAGAAGAGGGCTGGGAAAAGTTTGCAGAGGAGCATGATTTGCAATTGGGAGATCTGTTGGTCTTCAAACACGAAGGTAATATGGAGTTTGAGGTAATCATATTTGATTCAAGTCATTGTGACAGAGAATATGCCGAGTATCTGCAAGAAGAAGAAGATATTGTTGAAGGGGCTTGCAAGAAATTTGAATTAAAAGGTAAGATCTTTAGAGTCCATTAGTTTATGCTTGATAAATTTGTAAGCTAATTCCCTTCTTTAAAATAAGTTTCAATTTATTTAGATGAAAAACTAGCCAAATGATTGGGTGGATGTTTAGATGTTATTCATGTTTTAATTGTAATCATTTTGTCATATTTAATTTCTTCACATGGATTTGTCTACAATTAACAATGTAAAAGACAAACCAAACCCCTGCCTCTTGTTTGTCATATTTAATTTCTTCAGATGGATTTCCCCATGCAGAAGGCGCTACTCACAACCCTTTTGGTCAATCTCATTTTGAATGCACTGTTAGATCCTATTACCTTACAAATGGTTACTTGGTAAGTCTCAAAACTGATTTCCCCGTCCCCCCCAACCGTTAAGAATCTTCAGGTAAAGGAAACATAAGCACCATTTTCTTTCTTTTTTTTCCTCTTTGTTAATTGGAGTTATTTACGGTGATAACATGATGCCTATGACATGCAATGTGCAAATGTTATAAACAATTTCAGCGTGTTCCGTCACGATTCGCATCGAAAAATGGTCTCACCTACAAGAAATGTGATTTGATTATTAGAGATGAAAGACAAAGGTCATGGAATTTAAAGCTATATACCTCCTGTCATCACGTCTATATTGGTGGCAGATGGGCTAAATTTCATGCTGCAAATGACTTAAAGGTGGGAGATCGAATAATGTTTGAGGTTGTTACTAATGGAGAAAGACCAATTTGGAAATTTCATGGTAGGGTTTCTTATTTAAGCAACCTCTTATTTTTCTATGATCTTTTTACTAGGTTATATACACCTTGAAATTATATTACATCTTCAATAACATTATTCAGTATTTGGTTGTCCATACTGTAAAGCATGTTCGTAATAAACAACTACACTTTTCAAATTTACCGAATCCTTGGTAGGCAGTGTTATCCGATACCTGTGCTATCCGGTACATGTGCTGATGGGACGTAGCAGGTATCCGGCGGAATGGCCACCACACCAATGTCATAAAAGAAATGTCAAAATAAAGGGGCGGTTTGCTCTATCTATTCATCAAATTTAGATATTGAGTCCTCTAAATTTCAAGTTTTTGTTATTTAGAAAGTTGAAAGCAATATCTATAAAAGTTCTTTTACGGTTTTACCTGGAAAGGGTGAAATAGCTGTCTATAAGATGTACTTGTTTTTGTGAGCATTTGTCTTCGAGTTAATTAAGATGGTCTTCTATAAGTTCTTACTCAAGCTTATAGGACAGTCATTTTGGTAACTCTACAAACATGTTGCTGAAAGAAGAAGGGATCCAATAGTCATTTTAACCCATAAAAGCACTTTTACAAGTCCTACTAAACTCTACTGAAGTATATTATCCTTTCTCTTGTTTGCTTGGCCCTTGAATTTCTTCATTGCTTGTACAAGTTGAGGGAGGGTGGTGATTTTCAATTTGTTGTTCTAATGTATGCATTGTTGGAATATAGTCAGATTCAAATTTTATATCATTGAACTTTATTTTCATAACATCAGGAAGCTAAAAGAAATATCAAGAAGGGTCTACTTTGGGGAGTGAATTCTTGCTAATATCGAAAAATAAGCAAAAGATAGGGTGGATATTTGGACAATATTCATATTTTAAATTGTATTCTTTTTGTCATACTTAATTTCTTGACATGGGTTTGTGTTATCACCCTATAACAGTCAAACCAAACCCCAGCATCAAGTCATCGAGCAAGGCATTTCCCTATGCTGAAGCTGCTACTCACAAGCCTTTTGGTCACTCTCATTTAGATTCAAGGCACTGTAACAGAGAATATGTAGAGTATCTGCAAGAAGAAGAAGAAGCTGCCAGCGATGCTGTTGAAGGGACTTCCAAGGAATTTGAATTAAAAGGTAAGCTCTTTGGAGTCCATTAGATATGCAGTTTAGTTCAAGCTTTTCGGTGATATATTGATGACATGAGTATAATGCAGTAGTTTGTGTCTTTGTGATCTTATTAAGAAAATTAGAACTTTAAAACAGTAGCACAAAATACTGTAATTACTGAAGTGCACATTAATTGCATCACAATAATTACCACATGATAATATCCGGTTTCTACGTATTAGTACAACTAATTTATACTTGACGACTTTGCAAGTTAAGTCCCTTCCTCCTAAAACAAGTTTCAGTTTATTAAAATGAAAAATTAGCCAAAAGATGGGGTGGATGTTTAGAGGCTATGCATGCTTTAATTGTAACCATTTTTGTCATATTTAATATTCTTGACATGGGTTTGTCTACAATTTACAATTTAATCGACAAACAAAACCCCAGCCTCATGTTGTCAAGCAAGGTCAATCTCATTTTGATGATATGTGCAAATGGTTATTAAACCATTTCAGTACCTTCCTACACAATTTGCGCTGGCAAATGGTCTCACCAACAAGAATTGTGGTGTGATTATTAGAGAGAAAGACAAAAGGTCATGTAAATTTAGGTTACCTATATACGGGTTTCAAGTCTATATTGGAGGTAGAAGGGGTTAGTTCCGTGTTGCAAATAACTTAAAGGTGGGAGATCATATAATGTTTGAGGTTGTTACTATAAAACGATCTTTGTAAAACATTTCCTATATGTGGAATATATTTTGTAGCAAACAATTTAGCTACACCAAAAAAGGGCCCAATTTATACATTCCATTTCGTAATTAAATAGTGTATTATCGTGATTCGTGTCATATATCATTGTCTCTCTTTTATAGAGGTCTTTTTAGTTGCTTTTTCTTGTTATAAGAAGTGTGCTTGGTCTTTCATCGGTTATAATTCATCCTAAAGGGGCAGTTGCACTATTTATTCACTCAAGTTTATATATTGAGTGCTCTAAAGGCGACCTCACCGGTCTTTATACTTTGTTAAATTCACCATGAAATTTATTTTTGTGTTTGGCTATTCAAACTGTAATAAATGTTATTCATAAACAACTACATGTTCTAAAATTTACCCACCAAACAGTTTTCGAGATGATTTATGAATTGATCTTTGTAAAACATTTCCTATATGTGGAATATATTTTGTAGCGAGCATTTTAGTTATACCAAAAAGAGCCTAATATATACACTCCATATCGTAACTAAATAGTGTATTTAAAGTGTTATATAACATAGTTCTTTGTTTTCTAGGGTTCCTTTATTTAAAGTGTTATATAACATTTTAGTTCCATTTGTTTAATTAAGTTTATATATTGAGTGCTCCAAAGGCCCTGTCCCAGGTTCCATGAGGATAAATTTTCATATGTTGTAATTTTAAAAAGTTTGAAGAAAATTCGTATACTTTAAAATGATATTTGAAGAATAATATCTATACAAATTCTTTTTCTTGCAAAGAGAAACAACTATGCGGGAAATAGTACTGAGAAGGCCCTTTTTGTTGAATGTTTCTGTTCGAGTAAATTAAGATGGTCTTCTATCAGTTCTTCCTCTACCTTTCTAGACAGTCTTTTTGTGATTCTACAAACATGTTGCTTAAGGAACAATGGATTCAATAGTCATTTTAACACATAAGATCACTTTTACGACTCCTACCAGATTCTACCGAAGTATATCATCCTTTCTATAATTTGCTTAGCCTTGAATTTCTTACCCAAGTTGAGGGAGGGTGGTGACTTTGAATATACCGTGTTAATGTATGCATGGATAGCATAACCCAGTAAATACTAGTATACTTATTCTTTTTTGCGTTTCTAGAATCTAGTCATATTAAAATATAAATCATTAAACTTTATTTCTGTAACATCATTCTTGTTTCCTTATTATTTGGAAGCCAAAAGAAATTTCAAGAAAGGTTTACTTTGGAGAACGAGCCCTATTCATTTTGTGGTCGATGTTTATACACTGTTCATACTTTAACTATAATCTCTCTGTCATACTTAATATCTTGACTTGAAATTGTGTATACAATTACCTTGTAACAGACGAACCAAACCCCAGCGTCAAGTCATCAAGCAAGGCATTTCCCCATGTAGAAGCTGCTATTCACAAGCCTTTTGGTCATTTTGTATGCACCATTCGACCCTATTGCCTTACGTATAGTTACTTGGTAAGTCTAAAAACCCATTTCACACAAACCCTTCAAGAATGTTCAGGCTAAAGTGATTCTGCATTACCATTTTCTTCTTTCTTCTTTGTTTTGGCGTCAATCTTGGTGAAAAATATGAAGTTTTTACTTATATGCGCAAATGGTGGTATACCATTTCAGATCCTTCCTACACAATTTGCACTCACAAACGGTCTCATCAACAAGAAATGTGATTTGATTATAAGAGATGAATGGCAAAGGTCGTGGAATTTAATGCTACGTCCTTTTGGTACTAGCGTGTGCATTAGAGGTGGATGGCGTAATTTCCGTGATACACATTGCTTAAAGGAGGGAGATCAAATAATGTTTGAGGTGGTTACTGATGGAACAAAACCAGTGTGGAAATTTCATGGTAAGTGTCTTTTATTTTTTGATCATCTTATATACGATACACTATGACTATATTTAGTAAGATCTTGGATAAAGCAATTTTTACTTAAATGGAAGAAAGCACTTAGCGTTCTAGGAGAGCATAATTCATTTTCATTTGTAGCATTTTCAATTCTTATTCTTATCACTAGTTTCTATCAGTATACAAAAATTATTTCTGCTCTTTGATACTCATTTTTATCACCTAACACCAACCTCCCTCCTACTTCCCACAACTACACCTTTTCAAAATTTTAATCAATCAATGATTTGAGAAGTGTAATATTTCTCACAAAAAATATTTTCTACATTTTACTTAGGTAGCCTTCTAACAGTTCTTCCTCAACTTTTTCTAGAGAATCATTTTTTGCTTCAAGTTCAAAACTAATTCATTAGACGATATTTTTGTTACATAGTTCTCATCTCCGCCTTTTCTTTCAAAATAACTTGGAAGCCTAAAAAGTTTCAAGAGTTTTATGGTTTATGTATTGTCTCTCAAAACTGTACTTAGTTTTAGAAAATTTTTAATTAAAAAAGTATATAAATGCTTTATAAGAGTTTGACGATTATTTAACCCTATAAAGAATGTCATAGAATGTAATCAACATTTAAACACTTCTGCTTCCTAGCAGGTTTTACATTACTAACTTACATAAACTAATGTATTTTTGGAGGCAAAATTTCTGGAGAGAATGCAAGAATCAATCAAGGGGTTGACTGAACAATGAAGTTTGTTGGTGACAGAAAAGAAATGGAACACTGAAGCAATCGAACGGAATATCTCTCTTTCTCGGTTGATTCAATATACGGTTCACAACCTCAACAAAGCATGTCATGTTTTGTTCCAGAAAACTCCATGTAAGGAAGTAACTAATGACTCATCTCAGGTTTCTAACCCAGAGTACGGTGTTTCAGGTGTAGCGGGAAAAGAGGTTGTATCATGTATGATGTTTTGGGTGCTATTTCTTGGCCATTGGAACAACAAGGGTGTGATATGTTCATGTATTCTGATCAGCTTGAAAATTTCTCGTGGATTGCTAACATCCAAGAATTGTTGCACCAAAGGATCGATCTAGTGGTTAACAAAATGGGTGCATACTTCGGAGATCAGGGTTCGAATTCCATCCGAGACAAAAAAAATGCTAGATAAGTTCTTTCTATTTGTCTAAAGCCATGGTAGGCAGAATTATTTGTAAGGTGTATTTGTGGGAGGCAAGCTGACTCGGATATCACAGTTATTGGAAAAAAAAGGAACACTTTCTGAATGAGCTGTGTTCATATTATGATTTGATCCACTGTTATAAACTTCCATGAATTCCTTTGAAAGATTTGGGAACTTATCCATTTGTTTAATGATTTGTTCCATATTTCCTGCCTAAGTTATATTTATAGCTCATTGAGCTGAGTTATGTTTTGGCTTTTCCATAGGATGTTCATTACAAAACTCTTTCTCCCAACAGTGAGAAATAGAGACGTGATCCTTCAAATGCCTCAATTATGGCCTTTAACCACTCCTTTATTTTTGTTTCGACATTTATCTTTGGTTGACCAGTGTTAGAAATTGCTTTGTTCGTGCAGCAAATCTATTGGTGTTTTTTTTTTGGGGAAAAGGGTCAAATTTGCCCATTTACTATTTAAAACTGATCAATTTTACGCTTTGTATAACTTTTGGTCTAATATTACATCCACCACTATAAATGTCTTATTTGTTGCCTTTAATCTCTATGGAGCTCCAATTTTAGCGTATTACAAAAGATGATTTACAAAGTATTACAAAAGATAAAAATTAAGAAAATTCGTATAGTACATGACTAAAATTAGATAATGAGGCAGCAGGCGACGGGCAAGAAAAAGTATGTGAATGTATTTTTGGATCTAGTATATATTCTGATACATGGAAATCCACTACAATTATACTATCAATCTTCCATGTTACCATGTATAATAGGTTAATTACTGGTCTTCTTCCCACAATTTTAGGTGATATACTAGCTATGCCTATTCCTTGACCTTGGCAAGATTTTCTTCCATATCTTCCCCTATTCCATAAAAATTCTCTCATAAATAACATATCAAATCTTCATAATTTTATCACACGGTATTCTCTTTCCATATGTGTCTGGATCTTCACCAAATTCTTCTTTATTAAACAAACCTGTACAAAAATAATACTATACAACAAGTAAATGTTCTTTGATCAGTATTTATGAGTCAATATTGAGTTCTATATTGATTTGTTGCCACACAATTACTACATTTTCTTGGCCATCATGAAAGTATCTCCAAATAAACCTCACTTTTTAAAACCCATCTTGCCAGGTTTCAAGCACGGAATTGTAAGTAATAATTTCAATTATTTCATCTTTCCTTTGTCTAAGAAATGTTTCTATCCCATTAAAGAAATATACCAAATGTCAAAACCATAGTGCATATGAATATTTTGTATAGAATCCTTACTTCAACCCGGATAACTCTAAAACACAACAACTTCGTTGATTAGTCCCAAATAAGTTGGAGTCGGCTATATGAATCCTTATTTCTTTCTATAAGCTCAACTCATATCATCATCGTAACAATTTCGGGACCAGACTCCTCTTATTGTATGTGACTTTTTACTGCAGAAAATTCCTTTAGGTTTCTTGAAGTATCTGAAGGATCACGACCATATTGAACATGCAATACTGATAAGGGGTAGTAAGAAGTGGCTGGTGAAGGTGAACGGCCGACATCTAGAAGAAGGCTGGGAAAAATTTGCAGAGGACCATGATTTGCAATTGGGAGATATGTTGGTGTTCGGACATGAAGGAAATATGGAGTTTGAAGTTTCCATATTTCATTCAAATCAATGTGAGAGGGAATATGAAGAAGAACAAAAGGTCCATAATGTTGAAGAGACTTCCAAGAAATTTGAATTCAAAGGTGAACTTCTTTAATTTAATTAGGGCACATTTGGTATCAATCTACTCTTCAAATTTGTTATTTATGGAAGTTATTTATTCAAAACATAGTCCATTATTGTTCGTTTAAGTTACTCCTCCCTTTTTTTAGTCGGTCCAAAAGAATGACACATATTTATATTTATTAATAATTTAATTAGATTTTCTATTTTATCCTTAACGAGATATTTAACCACACAAATATCTCTGAAGGGTAGCCTTGACGTAGAAGGAGTTTTAATATTTAGATGCTATTCATATTTACAATTTTTTTGTTTCATATGTTAAATTTCTTGACACTATACTACTTCTTGACAAACCAAATCCAAGCATAACTCATCAAACAAGGCATTTCCCTGTGCAGGAATTGACACTCACAAGCTTTTTAGTCAATCTCGTTTTGTATGCACTGTTAGACCCTATTGCCTCCAAAACGATATCTTGGTAAGTCTAAAAAACTTACACTACAAATATCTTTTTAACAACACCATTTTTCTGAATATGAAATATGCACACTGTTCATTATATTTGCAATTGAAATTTCAGAATATCCCTAAGCAATTTGCATGGGCAAATGGTCTCATCAACAAGAAATGTGATTTGATTATTAGAGATGAAAGGCAAAGGTCGTGGAATTTAGTAGTACGTTCGTATAGTACTAACGTGTATATTAGCGGTGGATGGAATGAAATCCGTGATATACATTGCTTAAAGGAGGGAGATCGTATAATGTTTGAGGTTGTTGCTAATGAAAAGAAACCAACATGGAAATTTCATGGTAAGTTTTCTCATATATCGTTTTTTAATTTTTAAAATCATCTTATATACACATAGAACGGGAGTCTTGGCGTAACTGGTAAAGTTGTTGTCATGCGATTAGGAGGTCACGGATTCGAGTCGTGAAAATAGCGTCTTGCAAAAATGCAGGGTAAGATTGCATGCAATAGACCCTTGTGGTCCGATCCTTTCCTGGACCCCGCGCATAACGAGAATTTAGTGCACCGGACTGGCCTTTTATCTTATATACACGTACAGTATGACTCCGTTTGCTCTACATTTTGGATAAAGAAAATTATAAATGGAAGAAAGCATTTTGAATTCTAGGAGATTATAGTTGATGTATCATCTCTTGTTATTGTTCATAGTTCTTACATATAGTTTATTTTAGAAAGATTTTACATGCTTTACTAGAGTTTGAAAATTATATAACACTATATATTTATATAAAATAAAAAAAAAAGTAGTGCGGTGCACAAACGTAGGGTCTGAAGAAGGGCGCACCCTAGGGGTGTGATGTAGACAGTCTTCCCTAATGCAAGCATTAGTGGTTGCTTTCATGGTTCAAACCAGTGACCTATAGGTCACACGGATACACTTTACCGTTACTCCAAGGCTCCTCTTTGTACGTAACACTTTATAGAATTGTATAGTGAACATTTTGAGAACTTAGGCTTCGTAGCAGAGATTTTATACTTACATAAAGTAATGCATTTTTTGCAGCCAAATCTGGAGAGGATGCAAGCATCATTCAAGAGGTTGACTGAACAATGGAGCAACTGACGAGGGAAAAAGAAAAGCAACACTTTAAGCAATTGAATCTTGAAGTTTATTCCTTAGTTACTTCTATAAACTAGATTACCTTGAATAACTAGAACAAGATGGATTTAATAAATCAGTTCAGGATGTTCTAATAGCTATAGATCGAACCTATTTAATTTTTACAGTATGATAGTTGTTTATTCATGGGTTAACTGTATTTTCTATGTCTTTTTTGGGACCAATATAAACCTATACAGTTCAAAGGAGAGCTTTGGAGCAACTGTGAAGTTGTCTCCGTACGTGTGACCTATAGGTCACGAGTTCGAGCCGTAAAAACAGCCACTAATGCTTCATTATGGTAGGCTGTCTACATCACATCTCTTGGAGTGCGGCCTTTTCTCAGACCCTGCTATTGTACACCGGGCTGCCTTTTTTTTTATCAGCATATAGAGTTCATCTAACATTTAAATTTAATCATAATTATAGGGTTAGTGGAAAAGTTTCATCATATCCAAATTAACATAAGATCAAGAATTATATTGGCAAAAACTACACATAAAAGAGTGAGATCATCCTAAACTTCATCTTTCTTCTTCCTCAAAACATCTCAAAATTAATCATGTACCACAAAATGTAATATTTTTTTCGCGAAACTCATTAGCCCAACTAATTTGTATTCCTACCGAGTAGCTTAAGGTAAAATGTTACCAAGACACGTGATTGCTATAATTACAATCAATGAATATATTTAGTCATTTAAAATATTTTCCCATGAAGTACACATCCTTTGGAATTTTCCCCTTTCATATACAACTTATAAGTATCCCTGTTATTTTCTTTTTATTAAAACAGGGCAATGAAAAAGAAAATCACCTTTTTTAATAAGCTGCAACCATTGAGGCCAAAACAACAAACAAACCAAAGGAAACCTTCAATTTTCCAGCAGATGATCCTGCCGGTGGTGGCGACTGAGCATCGGCCGGAGGCGAATCATCGGCCGGAGAAGGTGAACTGGCCGGAGAATCGGCATCCTCAGAAGGAGAAGGAGCCTCTGTTTCTTCAACAGGGGACTCTGCTTCTTCTTCTTCTTCAGCAGGGGACTCTGCTTCATCATCAGAAGGTGGTGGTGAACTCTTAGGTGAAGATGGTGCATTAGCCTTAGGTGGTGGAGCTGAAACTGGTGCAAGTGTTCCATCTAATCCAGGTGTAAAAATTGGCTGAGAAATTCCAAGAATTGATATGTTATAAGGCTGATTCATTACTGATTTTTCTAGCCTTGAATCGCGTTGAGCGCCTTTAACAGCTGATCCAAATACAAAACTACCATCTTTAGCTGTCACATTCAAGAAACCTTGGTCATATGCTGCTTTACCTGATTGTTGGTACATATTTGTCAATTTTGCTGTTTTTTCCTTCATATTTCTGAGTTTCATTGGATCATAGTAATCTAATACGACATGGGTTGATAAATCTCTCTTGAGAACATCATCTGATTTTGAGGTAAGATCACCAATTGCACCATTTGGAACGGCTAAGACTGTAATTGTGGCCCTTTTGTTAATTTCAGTGGCTAAGCCAGATTTAGAAAGAAGTTCATTGAAGGTGCTGTAATCTGAATATTGGCTTAGAATTTTTGTGATATTAAAGGCCGAGGCCGAGGTGGCGGCCAAGAGGAGGAAGGTACAAAGCAGTGGAGCAATTGAACGACTCATTTTTGCTGGTTATTTTTTTTGAGTTTTTTACCAGCAAAAATGTGTTTTAATATTTACTTTTTTCTTCTTCTTATGTTTCTTCCTTTAGAGAAAAAATAAACCAGCTCCGACTTGTTTGTTTGAAGAAATGGAGGATTATATATAGTTGGAGTTATGGAGATGAAGGGTTGTTGAGCTTGTGGATGGGAGTGAACTTTTCTCTCCCATGCAAATGCATGGACGCATAAATAGCACAGTTACAAAAAAAATTCTTGTTTAGAGGCAATATCGGTCAAAATTTGGATAAGAATGTTTATGTCTCATTACCATAAAGATTGGAATGAAGTAAACTTGTCCTGAGGATTTATCATTAGTTTTTTTCTTGATCACAGATTTAATGATTACGACATTATTTTAAAATCTAAAGCTTGAATGATTACGGACTTTTTTTTCTTTTGAACGTTTATAATTTATATTTAATACTCCCTCAATTTTAATTTATGTGAACTTATTTGACTCGACATAAAATTTAAGAAAAAGATAAGACTTTTGAATATGTGGTGTAAAATAAGGCACATATATTTTGTGGGGCTATGAATTATTGCATAAAGATAAATTGTTTCTAAATATGAAAAATGATAATTATTTTTGGTACGGACTAAAAAGAAAAATAGGTTCACATAAATTGAAATGGATGGAGTAATAAATATAAAATTCAAAATAATAATAATAAACACAACATTCAGAAAATAGTAGAAAAAAATCTTAATTTACATGATATATGTTATAAAAATTGTTTATTTGAAGAAGTACACGCTAAAAGTTAGCAGTGGTGGTGGCTGGCTATGGTGATGGTATGCAGGAAATTGCTAGTGATGTAGTTGTGATTGGTAGAGGAGGCAAGCAAATGGTGGTCGTGCAAAAGAGGTGGTGGTGCTCGTGCAGTGGTAGCTGGCTATGGATGTCGTTGATGGTGGTGATTCTCCGGTGGAGGTCAATGGTTAGGTGGTTGGTGTTGTCGTGGAGGTGGTGAACAGAGGCGGATCCGAGATTTAAAGTTTATGAATTCATGTCGTAATCTCAAATTATATACAATAATAACCGGGTTCATAGTTAGATATTTATAGATATTTAATGAATTTTTTAATAGAAATACAAGGCAGAGGCGGGTCCAGTATTTAAACCATATAGGTTCAACTTTTAAAGTTTTTAGTATTTAACCTATTATATTTCTAAAGTTATGGGTTCATATCTACTATTTTTGTAATTTTAATAAATTTTTACTCCGCGTCAAAAGTTATGGGTTTAATTGAACCTGTCGGTAATACGCTAGGTCCACCTATGATACAAGATCTACACAAAAGTTACGGGGTTCTCAACCCAATATATAACTATACTCTTGTAATACCTCCAATATTTTAAATGAGGACAAATGGGGTATTTAGTAAATAATTTAAGTTTAAAGGAAAAAAAAACTAACTAATAAAACAAAAAAAAATACGAGCAAAGAAAGGATGAAAGAAAAGAGAAAAGGAGGGAGAAGTTGGTGCAGTCTTGGTACCGAAAAACCTCACACCCAACATGATTTTTTTCATATTCTTGCTTCCGTGATAAGGTAATTACATGTATTCTTCCTTCTTTAGAAAACACTATTATTTTATTTACATGATTCCTTATGGGACTGAATAGATATGAGGTTGGGATTGAACTAAGAGTTTAAAAGATAAAGCTAAAGAAATTTTGAGAAATTCATGAAACTTTTCCAGTGAATTAACTCGGTATATTATATGGATGAGTTGTATTTAATAGATTTTGAATTGGTTTAAGTTAACTATAGCAGTGAGTTGGGATACTGAAATGGGTCTTGATATTTCAAGTATAATAGGAGGGATTTGTTGAGTTATTATAATTCGGTGAATTAAGAGCTAAATATGAAACTCTAAGGATTTGGGCATTCTAAATTAGCTATGAATTAGCCTAAACATGGAAATTAACATGAGATCGATATTATGTAATTATAGATTGTTTGGAGGAATTTATACGAATTGCTCGAGGTGAAGCATTTGGTATTTCGGCATGAGTACTTTGAGTAGTAATCTTACCACAATTTGTGTTTTCATAACTTGCATGATTTATACATGATTTTTAATATGAATATGTTACCGATTATTTTGAGTTGCATGCGGGACAAGTCTTTTACTCGATATGATACCGAAATAGTTATTTAAGATGATTACCATTGTTTTAAATATTTCCGTTGTCACTAGATCTGTTTTACCATTACTTGAATTTACTGTTATTGAAATAAGATTATATGATTTGATAAGAACCGAAATGCCCTATATTGTTTTAAAATATTTTCTACGAGTATATACGGATTACAGAGACAAGTATAAATGAGAGTAGACATTGAAGGATCTCGTAGCTAACGGCGGGTTCGTTAGACCTGGTGCACCTTGTAATTACATATTACCGTTACAGTCTTGGCTAGTGGAAAGATAAAACTAGCATACCGTTACCGATTTTCCTCGAGTAGGGACTACCGTTATATTTGACTTCTTGCGAAGAAGTCCACAGTTATACCGATTATATGATCTGTTAATTGAAACCTCCCAAATGTGAATATAGATATTATACAGTGGTTACCGAGCTTATTACTGAATTGTTAATTGTATTATACTACAAGAAAAACATGACGAGACTAAAAATTATTTATTGTTTCTGAAATGGCATTTTTATGTTATTTTCTGTTTGACATACTAGCATGTTTTCTGACTTGTCCCCAATAAAAACGGTTGTGGCTAAGTGTTATTACTCACTGAGCTAGCAACTCATTCCCCGCTAATTTTTTTTACAGAGACAACAGTTGACGCGTGCGAGAATTTTGTTAATTAGAGCGCATAGGTTGATAGTTCTTGGTGAGCCTCGCACTTGTTCGCATGGTTTATTTATTGTTATGGTCTTTTTTTTTGAACTCTTAGAGTCGCTCTATAGTCATTATTTTTAGAGTCTCGAGTATTCTTTTGTTATTATAGACTTATGTTGAGTATCGCTCATTCTTATCAAAGCCGGAGATAAAGTAATATTTCTAGTTGTTAGTGGATGGACTATTAATGGTAGATATTTATTTTGGTTAATTGATAAAGTCATTGTCGTTTGAATTGATATTAGGATGTTTGGTTGTTGATTTGAGACAGAAATATTTTTGGGATAGTCCAAAAATAGGGAAAACTCTGTCCGATTTTCTGTAAAATACCGATGAGGCTTACTTGGGGGCACTTGCTCCTAAGTGTCGGTCATGATCCTAAATTGGGCCGTGACAAAGTTGGTATCAGAGCTTAGGCTTTAAGTCCCGAGTCATGCAACAATGTTTAGTAGAGTCTTGTTCATAGGTATGTAGGCGCCCATACTTATGATCTTGAGCCTACTAAACATCTAGGAATATTTTTCCTTCATTCATTCTTTGATCATGCATTGAGATAACTTGAGATTGACTTTGGAGTATTTCATTCGCAGATGTCTAGGACACGCACACCTTCATCTGCTAGACGTGGTACTACCCGGGGTGGCGGTCAAGTTGGGGTTCATTAAACTAGAAGACAGGCTTCTCCTCAACCTGAAGTTGGGAACATGGGTCAACCCCAAGCTGCTATGCTAGATCAAATGCAAGGGCAGGGAGTTCAGGATGCTCCACCACTAGTTCCAACTGTTGTACCTATTGTTGCCTTACTTGCATACGCAATGGAAAAGTTATTGAATGTGTTAGAGGCATTGGTTCCTACTCAGGGTGGAAGTTCAGCTCCTCAGGATACTTTACAGACACAAGCACTTGTACAGACTCAGAATTTCGGGAATAAGGAAGTATCCCTACAAGAGTTCCTGAAATTGAAATCACCAAAATTCACAGGTTCTGATAATTCGACAGATCCTCAAAGTTTCTTGGATGGGACAGACAAGGCATTACGTGCTCTTGGATGTTCTAGTTAGAGAGCCGTGGAGCTCTTAGCATACAAACTAGAGGATATGACTAACATATGGTATAAAGCTGTATTGCTAGGAAGGACAGTAGGAGCAACACCACTGACATGGGACGAATTCACTAAATTGTTCATGAATCATTTTCTTCCGAAAAATCCTGATGCAAAAATATGCTAGAGACTTTGAGAGATTGGTTCAGACTCCAGATATGGATGTGTTAACATATAACACCAAGTTTTGTAAGCTTTCTAGATATGCCCCTTACTTAGTGCCTACCGAAGAAGCTAGAGTTCAGAGGTTTGTTGATGGATTAATTGGTCATCTATACACTGCAATAGCCCCATAGATGAAGACTTTATCCTACTCTTATGCAGTAGACCTTGCTAGAAAGATTGAAACCAAGGGACGTGAGGAGCATACGGCTAGTGATTTACGTAAGAAGGCGAAGACAGGAGGGTCTTTTAGTAGCAGTTTTAGTGAAAATCGAAGAGCAGGAAATCAGGGACAACAACAACATGGATCTCAGTCAGGGACACACTTGTCTTCACAGTCCACATACAGACCACATTACAAACATGGTACTAGGGGACCATCATCATCTGGACATCGTAATTCTGAGCAGATATATTCCACTACTTCAGTCTGCCAGACCTGTGGTAGATCACATTTGGGCCAATGTCGTGTTCTAATGGGAGAGTGCTTTCGGTGTGGCCAGTTGGGACAACACTTGAGGGGTTGCCCTCAGCCTCCGAGAAATTTCAACTAGGCTTCTATTCAGTCAGTTGCACCTACTCAGACTACTCGTAATACTTCATGTGCTACAAGTACAGGAAATAGAGGTCGAGGTGCTGGAGACCGTGCTACTGTGAATCAAGGACAAGGGAATGCTGGTAGAGGTTAGGCGAGAGTTTTTTCATTTACTAGACATGATGCTCATGCCTCGAATGCTGTGGTTACATGTATTCTCTCTGTCTGTTCATTTGATGCACTTGCGTTGATTGATTCGGGATCTACTCACTCTTATGTGTCCTCGTACTTTGCTTTGAGGTTTAGTAGACAGCCTGAGCTATTGAATGATCCTTTTCTAGTTGCTACTCCCGTTGGAGAGTCTCTATTAGCTGAATACGTGTATCGTGCTTGCTAGATTC